GTGTGTGTGGTGCACGGTGTCCCCCTGACCATGGCGTCCTCGGCAGTCACCCACCACTAAGGCTGGCTCTGGGTTTCGTGAGTATATTGGCCAGCAAAGAATTTGCCTTAGTGACTGCAGAACACTTAATTCTGGATTGTATGGGAGAATAGTATAGTGTTCTAACAGAAGTATAGCTTACACTCCTTTGCTTTTGCCCCAAGAGAGGAGTGAAAGACCAGAATGCTTTAAATACTAATTTTATAGGAAACTAAGGACTGATTACATGCACACACATGCATAAACATGTACATGCATATATAATATGAATGTAATAAGTAAGGCTAACCGCACTCTTTCTTGCATTAGTAGGTGCATCCTGAGCAGGTCTAGGGAGGTGATAATTACCCTTTATGCAGCATTGGGCAGGCCACAGTTGGAGTACTGTGTCCAGTTTTGGGCGCTGCATTTCAAGAGGGATGTGGATAACCTTGAGAGGGTTCAAAGAAGGGCCACTCATATGGTTGAGGGCCTGCGGGTAAGAACCTGTGAAGACAGACTGAGGGACCTGAATGTCTTCAGCCTCCACAAGAGAAGGCTGAGAGATGATCTTGTGGATGCGTACAAACTCATCATGGGGGTTCAGCAGAGAATAGGAGATACTCTGTTTACCAGGATGCCCCTCAGGGTTACTATGAATAATGGCCACAAATTAAAGGAGAGTAGATTTAGATTGGATATCAGAAAGAAATTCTTTACAGTGAGGGTTGCCAAAATATGGAATGGGCTTCCAAGGGACGTGGTGCTGTCCCCTACCTTGGAGGTGCTCAAGAAAAAATTAGACAGGCACCTAGGCTTAGCATGCTGTTTCTTTCTGTGGATCTTATTCTGAGGGTGCTGTCTTTCCCCATGTCCTGTATAGAAAGGCCAGGCACCTTCCTCAGGGTTATGATCTAATAAATGATATCACCTTTCCCAAGAGTTCTGCACATGTTTTGCTTGTAGAGCAACACAGCTAAAACCTGTATTCCTGAAACTAGAGCAGGGGTGGGCAAAATACGGCCCATGTGCCACATCCGGCCTACCAAGCACTTCCCTCCGGCCTGCAGAGCCCCTTCAAAACCCACGTAATGGTGGCTGCCTCTCTAAAAGCTTCCGGCGAAAACAGCCGCAGTACCTCAGGCTGTTTCCTTGGGTTCTGGTTGCGAGGCATGCAGCTGAAGTCAGCTCCTCACATGCCGCTCGGGACGGGACAAGCCTGGCTGGAGCAGCAGGGCTCAGCTGCACTTTCCCCCTGCCTGCACCAGTCAGTCCCAAGCAGCACACAGCTCCGCTGCCGCTTCTGCTGGCCAGTGCAGACCCTGCTGGGCCTGTCCTATTTGGAGCAGCGTGCAGCTGAAGCTGGCTTCCCACATGCTGCTGGGGATGGGAGGAGCCCAGCCGGGTCAGCACAGGCCAGCAGAAGCAGTGGCGGAGCCATGTGCGGCTCCGGACTGACTGGTGCAGGCAGAGGGAAAGTGCAGCTGAGCCCCTGCTGCTCCGGCTGGGCTTGTCCCATCCCAAGCAGCGCACGCCTCCGCTGTCGCTTCTGCTGGCCAGTGCAGACCCGGCCAGGCTCCTCCCGTCCCCAGCACCACGTGAGGAGCCGACTTCAGCTGCATGCCGCTTTTCCTAGCCAGTGCTGACCCGGCCAGGTCTGTCCCATCTGGAGCATCATGCAGCTGAAGCCGGCTTCCCCGGTGCTGCTGGGGATGGGGCGAGCCTGACTGGGTTGGCACCGGTCAGCAGAAGCATTGGCAGAGCCTCCTCCTTTTGGGACCAGCTGGCACAGGTAGGGGGAAAGTTCTGGGGGAGGTCTGATGCCCCTGAAACCCCACTGCTGGGGCAGGATGTTAGAGGGGTCACAACCCCTTGCTACCTGGTAAGTTGCACAAGGGGAGGGACTTCCAGTGGCAAAGGTCAGGGGTCAGGGGATGGGGCTTCTGGTAGCAAAGGTCAGGGGGCAGGGGGCGGGACGTCCGGTCCCAAGAAGGTGACCAGGGGGTGGAGCAGCTGAAGGGGCGGGGCTACCCATGCGGCCCTCAACAGCTCGCCAAAACTCATCAAGCGGCCCTCTGCCCAAAATAATTGCCCGCCCGTGAACTAGAGGAAGGAGGCACTTAAGTCCCTTTCAGGATCTAGACCTTTGCCTCCCTGTACTTCAGTTTCTTCATCTGAGTCTGAGATCAGTGGATGAAAAGTACAAGAACTAATTTGCAGGAGTATTAATTACACAATTAATTTTCACTTTGTACTACAACCTGGCATTCATCAAACTGAAAATATTACTTCTCTGTATTTTTAAGGAAGGTATTCCATGGGGTAAAGTTTTCCTCACATGTAACCATCCTACCACCAATAATATTTGTGTAATGCCTTCCACACAAGGGATTCTTAAAGTACAGCATAATCGCTTACAAATTAAATATGGTAGCATTTTACTGCCTACCTTTGAAATGCAACCGAGTCTGAGGCCGAACACAGCAATCACTCACCAGGGCAGAGCAGCACAACACAACCATTTGGTGCTGGTGCTGAGTATCATGTACAACTCCCGGGAGTAGTTACGAAGGCTGAATGTAGTTGCTCAAGTTTGAATTTGTCAAGGGCCCTGAAAATTAACACCCTTATTCCAGCAAAAAGCAGTAAAGAAGCTTAATGTCAAGAGTTCAGTTTCATGTCAGTGTAGAGCCAGCACATATTATTAGCAGACAGATTCAAGAGGAAAGATGCCACCTACTGAATCACGTTCAGTGTTTCTCAGGGTTTCGCTGTACCCCTTATTCCTTCAGATTCATTCCTCTTTAGGCTGGGAGGTCTGGCATGAATCATTGCTCGAGGTGATAAGGAGGTAGGCTCTGTTCCACCCCATCATCATTCTTGAGAATGACTCTCATTCTCTCTAGTAAGCAGTATACACAGCAGCCTCTAATTATATGAATTCTTGAAATTGCCTGTTTCAATCAGATGATCCTGCTAGAAATGCCAACTCTGTTTGTTTTGTTTCTTATTTAGAATATTTCCTTTTAATTAATATGTTTACAAACAATCTTGCTTATTTAATTGCTTCCAAAACAGGAAATTTAATCATGTGTACTTGTTTTATTCTTGAAGTACAGTCCTCTGGTAGCACATCTGACACACATCCTTGGCACAAGCCCATTTTGTCTCAAAGATTTTGGAATTATCCAGAAGTGTAGATAAAAACCACATTTTCAAATGAATAGAGGATCTTTTAGTAGTGTGTCCTAATGGGGGCATGGGGGGGAGAGGGGAGATCTCCTTAGATTTAATTTAATCAGAGATTTAGACTTGCACAGCATTTGACATGGTTATATAAAGGACTTGAAAAATGCAAAGCAAAGTTCTAAGTAAATGTCCTTTTTTTTTCTAAAGTAAATATATAGATTTATTGCCAGCACCTGAAAAACTGGCTTTTGCATGGAAGACAGGGCTCTATGTCAGTCTGTACTGCAAACCCCATGAACATGTGGCAGGAATTGTAGACACAAATATGTAATTCCTGGCCTGTAAATGATATCTGAACACAGTGTGGCTTTCCTACCCTGGAGGGACTTGAATGAGCCCATTTTATGTTCTAGACTTTGTGTATCTTGGCAAGTTATGCATGTCCTCTGTACCGAGCTGAGTGCTGATGTTACAAGAAGTGAACTGAGGAGAAAGAGATATGTGTATAAACTGAGAATCCTCATCCATAGGATTTGCATTTTAGCAAAAAGGTGCACTGTGAATGTTTTCATAAGGCTGGACTCTTATCCAAGGAGTAGCACCTCAGTCTCCAAACTTTCTCGCTGAATTCTCTGCTGTAATTTGTGCAGTAACTAGTGCTGTTTAATGAGAACAGACTATAAGAATATGACCCATTGTATTTGGCCTCAGTACCTTCAAATCAATATGACCAGTGATATTTCCTGGAATAGTAAAGTTTTGGGCAATGTGCCATGTTTTGGCAAGGTGGAAGAATTCCTGTAAGAAAAGAACCACAATGCACAGAAAAGTGTCATTAGAAAATGTTTTCAATGCATTACTCACACCAGCACTTGAACTGTGATTACAGTTAAAAAATATGTTTCCAATGAAAATGGGCTGACCTGAAGTGCTTCCAGAAACCACATTGGGGTCACGTATTACATCAACTCAGTCTGCACTGTCCAACCTAGTGATGTGATCCTCCCAGTCTTTTGGAATGATACCACCCAGTGTTTGAACCACAACTGAGCCAATATACATATGTGGCTTATCCAGAGCCATAGGGAGGGGTGAATCTGTTCAAAGAAAAAAAGAGGCCCAAATCTCAGCATGTTCCCCAAAAGAAATAAAAGGTAACACATGAAGGTCTGGGAACATATGGCAGCATTTTTGTACCAAATATTATTCCATTGTTTTCCCTGTTCAAATTGTTCCCTTTCCCTTTTCAATTAAACCCCAGTATGAGGATGACAGTTCTTTTCTGTGCCTCCCATTCATTTCCTTGTTCCACATGTCTTCACTGTTAACTCAAACAACCACATCTATATTTGCTGATGGAACAAGAAAATCAAATTTGCCAAATTTATAACCCAGTTAGGAATGATGGAAAAAATAAAGAATCTTTGAGTTTTCAAGTCTGGACTCCATGTTAGTTGGTTCCCCAGGGAGTCCTGGTATCAGGGCCAGTATTTGGACTGTAAACTCTTTAGAGCAGAGGTCATTTTGTTGTTCTTTGTTTGTACCATGCCTAAAGCAATGAGGCTTTGCTCCGTGGCTAGGGATTCAAGGTGCAGTGGCAATACAAATAATAGTAAGGCTCTTATTTTGAGGGCTGGGAAATCCTGGAGCATGTGAGATGGAAAACTCATGTGTAGCAGGTTACGTAGGTTTGCAGCCTTATGGGAACAGGAAGCTTTGCATTTTGGGGAACTGTAACCTTGAACGTAATATTTATTGTGTATTGATTTGGGCTTTTATTTTTGCATTTTCAGAGGAAACCATGAAGTTGCACAGTGGACCTCCTAAGAACGCATATATGGAACAGAGTTTCCAAGGCTTGAATCCAGTTTTAAATATCCCGGTCAGTGCAGGTCAAGTGGACCAGGCCAAAAAGAACGCAGCACTCTTAGGCGCCAAGCTGGAGAACTGGGTTGACACCTTGGCCAGCAGCATGTGGTCAGCAGTGGATATCTGTAGCACAGGCCCAACTTCCTGTCCTGTTATGCAGGCTTGCAGTCAGACAGCATGGAGCTCACTTAGCCCAGACCCCAAGTCCGAGCTTGGCCCCATGAAACCTGATGGGCGTCTGAGGTAGCACCTTTCTTTGGCACGGATTTTAAAAGGGAATTTAACCTGGCTTACCTACACCTCTGACTACAGGTTGTAAAACCTTGCTGAAACATTTTGTCTATTTGTTATCCCAATATAATTCTTAAACATCTGGCACAGTCTTTGGCATCCTTTCTCCTTCAGACCTGTCAGACTAAGCTTCAGTAATGCTGTAGCCTCTCCCCTGTATCTGTCCAGAGTCACAGCCTTACCTCGTTCAATTTGTACCCAAAAGGGCTCCAACTCCTCTACTGATTATGAATACGAACCTACTTAAATCGCGGTTTTGCAGTTTTCATGGAAAGCACAAAAAACTATAATCTCCACAGTTGCTGTGAAAAATGTCATTGGCTGTGATTTCCCAGGAAGTCAACTGAAAAAAAAAACCCTTAATAAACAGAGAATGCTGTCTCCCCAATGGGAGCCAGTGGTCCTCAGTGGCACTGTGGGCTGGCCTCGCAGCCTGCCCGGGAGGGTTAGGCACCAGCTGGCGGGGTGGCACAAAGGGCAGCAACCACAATGGCAGATGCCTCTTTGTGCCTCTGCCAGTCAGTGTCAAGGAGCGGGGCCACATGAAGGTCAGTCAGCAGTCAAGATGGCAGCTCTCCCCTTGTTCCTCCTCCCCCTGGGGCCTCTCCACCAATCAGCGCCAAGGGGCGAGGCCACTACAAAACAACTGTGAAATTGGCTCTTCAGGCCAAACCGCACAAGTTGCTTTCTCTCACCGCGAGTTAGGTAGGTCCCTAGTTATGAAATGGTAACATAGCACCTCTGGGATCAGGGGAGGCCAAAAGGAGGCACTGCAGAAAAATGTTCCAGGAGCAAAATAAATACGTATATTTTGACTGTTTCATAGATGTTAGTTATTTGGCTAGCATGAAGAACTCTGCACACTAAGAACTGTGTGTATGTGTGTATGTACACACACACACGCACGCACACACACATACAGAGATATGCATACGTGTGTGTATGTGTATAAGTTTATACATATATAAATATATACATACACACACACATATTACAAGATAATTATATGTATAATACATAATATATATAATATACGTATACAGTATATATTTATTTTCTCCAAAAACTGCTCTGCCTTCCAAAATGTAGAAAACTAGAGGTACACCCCGACGAGAGTTTTTATCATTGTAAAAAATAGCCTTGATTCACTACTCTGCTATTCCGCTTTTTTGCCAGCATGAGTGACATCATCCTGAGACCCAGTCTAGCAGTGGTGAATCGGGCTCCTTCTCTCCTCACAGTGGGGAAAAAATTCTCAAGCCAGAACAAAGTGAACATTATGGCTGCTTGCAGACATGGAAAAAGAAAAACGGTGCTTTACTTTAAACTTGACACACTCCTGCGCCAAGCCAGCGCATGCCCGGTAGAGGCAGTGCATTAGTTGCACCCTGCTTTCCCAATGTCTGTGTAGACTGGTTGCTTTAGTGGGTCTTTTTTGGTGCTTTTATCTAATAGCTGATTGAATCAGCTTGAGCTAAAAGTGCCAAAAAGCCCCGCTAAAGTACCCAATCTATACAGACGCTGCAGAGCCAAGTCAAACTAATGGGCTGCTGCTTCTGGTAAAACGTGGTGGTTTTTTTCCCCACACACACATCTTTCACCTTTTATTGCTAATGTGATCAGACTTCACAATATCTGGGCACCACTTGCATTATTTATAACAAATATTCCCACACCCAAGCATGGGTTTCTGCCACTTCAGAAGTTTGCATTTTAAAAAGCCTACATTCAAAGTATTTGCATGTGCAAATTCCTTGAATATCAGGTGGTTTGTGCAAGAGGATAGTCTGTGAGAAATTAGGGTTCAAACTGTAATACCCCTACTCACACTGAGTGGCACCATTTTTTTCCTCCTATTAATAGACCTTGCTGTGTTAAGTGGAGCTATTCAGTCTGTAAACAAGGCAGAATCTGACCTTTCTTTAATAATTTAGGTTTGGAAACTTTTCCATTGATTTCAGTGGAAGAAGGATTGGAGCCTAACTATGCGGCAAGCTGATTCTGATCTAATTTAAGTAATGCCTAACAAGTCTAACACTAATTGCCTCCCTTGGTTCCAGACCTGCCAGGGTTCATGAAGGATAGTTCTAAGATTGCAGAGTTCATCTGGAAGGTTGTAGTGAATGAGACATGGAGATTTTCTGCTAAAGCCCTGAATTGAACATGGAGAGCAATGCTGTGCCTCAGTTTTCCTTTTATATTACTGACAAGCATTACCCTTGTTTGTGTTCCATTATTTACTTTCCAGCAGGCTCCAGGTGTTTTAAACATGGATGTGATACATCGTTTGAATCTGAGTTTTCAACAGTGGTGGTGGGGGGGATACCCATTTAATTTCTAAGGACTTTAAAAAATATTTTATATGCAAATTCACTCTGACAAACTTTACATAAAACATGCACTTTTTTGTAGTCTTTGGAGTGCACCATACTGAGAAACTTCAAGGAGCCTTTTAATTATAAATTGCCCTATTAATATAATAAAGGAAGGTGTCTGTTTACCCTTCTGTGTGCACATATAACTTTCATTACTGCTAATGAGAGTTAAGCTTCCACATCGGGGGGGGGGGGCAGGAACAAACCCTCAAATCTTTTCATAACCACATATCACAAAAAAGGTTGAACTCCCTTTTAAGTAAGGATGGCAAAATGACCATAAAACAGACTTCCCAGTAGCTTGTGATATTTCTCATAGTAGTATTGGTTTAAAGCTACTGCAGTTTGCTTTGGACTTGAAATTGCAGTGTCAGCTGTGCTGGCTTTAAGGTGGAACATTTACATGTTTATCTGGCACGAGGATGGATGCATGGAAGGAACGTTTTAGGTATTTATTATTTATGTTTTAGTCAATGACTAATTAGTAGGTGCTGCTTTTGCAGCTTGAAGATTATGTTATCTTACTAACTAAAGCTGCCTTTATTAAGAAAAGGCCTTCCCCCCCGCCCATGCCTCTCATCTCTCTTTCTTCCTTCCTGATTTTGACAGTCATGAAGCTGTAGTTTTAGGAAAGCTTGTAGCCATTATAGCTGGTTGGAAAGTTTCTGTCAAAGCACTGTCCCTGCTTTTCAGCTGGCTCTAGTGGTGAGTTTGTTTTTAAATCAGTGTTGCCAACAGGTTTATATCATAGAAACACAATGTTATTTCTCATTCAGTATTTTTTCTAATACTCGTTTTTATCGAACATGCCATCATGAAGGTCAGACTTGCTGGGGGAGTCCAGTCCTCTCTGTGAGCTCTTGGGGCTTAGCTACACTGACCAAATAGGGCTACCATGGTTAAAGCCCTGTAGATTGAATGAAAAAATATCACAATTGCTTATGTGTTAGGCAATAACTAAAAAGATTTCATTCATTTTCCTAGTCTTTGGATCATTCCAGTTAAATCTGCTGTTGAATTCATTAAATCCAGTCTGTCATGTGTGGGGAGGGATGTGAGTGTGGGGGGGGGGTGTACATGTGCATGCACACACACAAATAACCTGGTTTATAAATTTGATACCTTTTTAAATATTAGGAAAGAACATTTTTAAGGGTTTTGTTGGGAAGTTCACTATTAAATTTGTCAGGCCAAAGTTGGCAACAGTCCAGTCTCTCTTACAGTTAGAATGGTAGCCACCATTTTTATCGCTTAAAATGTAAGGTTCAAATGACTTAGTTTTAGTTCCTGTTTTGCAATTCAAAAAAGTCAAACTATTGCTGATATAGCTATATACATTTCTATGCTTTATCTATATAGATTCTATGTTATGTTGTAAACATCTCAAAAGAAATATTTTATACCATTTTATTTTCTAAATGGCAAAAAGAGCCTATAAATCTAAATACCATAGCCAGCTAGTAACACCAGTGCTGCTATTAAAATACTAGATGGTAACATGAATAGGTCAAATCCTGCAGTCCTTTCTCAGGAAAAACTTGTATGATTCTGAGTAAGGATTTCAGTATGAAACCCAGCATAAGTAAAAAGCAGCATATGTTTAAAAGTATCAGAGAATGAACTTCTCTGTTTTCAGCATCCTTGGAGATGGGCATCAAGTTTGGATCCAGTGGACCATTTCCTATCATAGCTACTAATCTGAAGATACATAATATATATTGGACAATATGACTTAATTGTTATGTCTTGTAGTTATGACATTACATTATGGAAAGCAAGACTGTCTCCATTAGGGATCAGAACGTGCCCCAGAACTATTGCTAAGATAGCACCATGCTTAGTGGCTTGTCTGGCTTGAAAATAGCAGGCACCCAATGTCTATGATGAACCTCTGTCTTTTTAGAAAAGAATAACTCCACAGATGTTACATCCGGTAAAAAGGAGAATTCAAAGCAGGGGCCCAGAGTTCATATGAAATAAAAAAGTCATATATGTTTCCATTTGAGCATGCCAGTATTATTTTCAGAGCATGCTGGCTAGTGAGATTTTATGAACAAGACTCCATTTGAAAGCCAGCTGTGACCAAATGCCTTCTGTGGGAAAAGAGTATATTTCCATTTGCACATATTTGCCCTCTATGTGTAATGCTGTACTCATTTAAACTCCATGCCCATGCTGCTAGATAGCCATGTGAAACTTCTAAGATCAACTGGCCTTATTCGGGCAGAAAAGAAATGTGGCAGAACATAGGGTGTCTGCATACATTTTTTTAAAAGGAATTAAATCCAAAGTCAGTGATATGCAAACCTGTTTATATGGTAATATTAAGCCCTGGAGCTAACAGAAATTAGCTGAAATGACAGCTTATTTTGTAGATGTGAACAAAATCTTTCTCTATGTAGTCTGACTGGACATGGAGTAAAGATATTTATATTTTAGGTTTCTGATATTTGAAGTTTTTTAGAATTAAAATTGTGTCTTCATAGTTGTGCTGTGAAGGGCAAAGGGGATGGAGTATATTAACAGTTCTTTCATAGTGGCAAGTATTTCAACAAGAACTATACATCTGTATTGCTATTGCTAGGCCTAAAAATATAGGAGTGCCAATTAGTATGTTATAGATTGACTTTCCTAGATACAGGCTTTAATGCAGAATGTCTGGCAAATGCGACTCCTTAATGGCATATTAATGGTGAACTTGCAGCACCTTCAAAAGGATAAGCTCATGAGTATTCAACTTCCATCCATCTCTCATAAATCTTGTGGTTGGTACCAAAAAAGTCAAAATCACTCTTGTTGATTGTTATAGGAAGCAGGACACTGAGTCAGACAAAGAACTGAGAAAATCCAAAGCTGGTATAAGGAGGTAATAAAGGATAAAAGAAAGGCTGAGTCGTTAGCTTGAGACAAAACTGTATTTCTTTATTGCAGCAAAGGGGATGGTAGCTTCATGTTCTCGTACACCCAAGCTCAGGAGCCTGAGGATGCCAAATCTCAGTTTTGACCTCCCAGCTTTTTATTCTGTTTGGAAAGTATTGACTAACTTCCTGTTGATTTCAGAGGCACCGAAGCTAAATCATGCTCTGTCATTTAGAGGGGAAATAGAGAACTGCCAGCTTGGCTCCCTGACTTCCCTAATGCTTCCTAATTCCCTCTGCTTAGAAGCAACAGCGTGAATAAATTCTGTCTTTCCCAGAATGCCCAAACTGCAAATAATTGATCAAACTAAGCGGTGGCCTAATGCCCCTGTTTTCTGTTGAGAAAGGAAGTGATGTGCCCACCTCATAAGACCAGAGTCCATAACGCTCTTTGAAAAACTTGACTGTAAGTGAGAAGGGTTGCTTTTGAAAGTCTACTCAGTGCTAAAGGATATAAAAAAGGACCTTCTGAAGGTGCTGGCAATTGGACTATCTTCTCCCATGCTCAGATATGTGGGTGTTCAGCATGTTCAGTAATAGATTAGTGTAGTTTATCAACAAAAAAGGCAACCTATCCAAAAATGGTTTGCAGTGGCTCCTTGTTCTTATTTGGCACTGGAAAGCCAACATTGGAAAGAATACTTCTATCTCAGCCATGCTACACAATGATCCCTCCACAGTGGGGGAGAGTAGGTCTCATGCCTGCTTCTAGCCAGAAAGGAGCTACACTGCAGTGATGGGGTGGGGGAGCAATGTGTTATTTCCACACTGGAAGGAAGGCCTGTGGGCCATCACAGTGGATGGAGAGAGCAATGGGTGGAGAGAACAACGTAGGAGAAACTCTGCAAAGGGTCTTCTCCCCTTTAGGTCACACTTGCAGGTTTTGTTAAAACACAGCCCTTTTTTCTTTGTATGGTAGGGCAGTCCGAAACATCTCTTTGCTGTAGCATATTCAAAGTAAATAATAATTAGGTTGCATAACAGTCTCTTGGAAGGTGCAGAGTACAAAGGCTATGTGATTAGGGAGTCTTGAATGGTTAATTGCACACTTACACCCTGTTGTAGACATTCAGCACAACAGGTCTGAGTTCCCTCTGACATCGCTTTCCGCTAGTTCAGCTTCCTTGATGTCAGCAGACTCCTGTTTCAGAACTGGCGCAAATGAGAGGGTCATCAGGCCCAAAGCCATTGGGGCGAAGGCAAAAAGCAGTGATATTGCATGTTATCTGACCCAAGGGCCAGGGTAGCATTTAGGCTGTTTTCAGTTACCTATGGTGGGTTTTTTTCTAGTGATGAATTATGATTCTCTAATTCTGCAGGGTGCCCCCCTTCTTTTTCTCTTTTATGCTAATAGTAGTATATGGATCACTCTTTGCTGTTTGCTTCTGCCTCAGTTACCTTCTTTTGCCCATGGGTGCTACCACAGCTGCTACCTCACTTTATCTGCAAACACGTTTACCTGCCAACAACAACAACAACAAAGGTACCAGAAATCTCCTTGAGCTGAATGTACAGTCTATGCAAATTCTCTCTGTTTTGTTAAAACTCATAAGTATTACTTGTTACCTTGCCAAATAAACAGCAAGATACTGTACAGGTGCCTCTGATAACAGAGTAACATTTTTAGGCGCGGTTCATTGCGCTGCAGTTGTATATTGTAATGACTGACTTGTCTTTGGATCTGTTGTAATTAATACTCTTGAATGAGAAGATAGTAATCTCTCGTGTTCAAGGAGCACCTTCAGTTTGCTGGGAATGTTGTGGAGGAAGATGGCGACTGCGTTTTACTCTATTTTTCATGTTTGTTTTAAGAAGACGACACAGGCCTAGCGATCAAAAAAGGTATTGTTTCAGATTTTTCCAGTGTGTTACCCCATAAAAAAGCCTTACTTTCATCCTTTCTTTCAATGTGGCCTTAAACAGTATTAGAAAGTTAGATGCTACATGTGCGTGCGTCTCTCTCTCTGTTTGCTGTAAGTGGAATAAAAGGCACCTTGAAATTTCTGTTACAACTCTGAGCTGTGTAGCTGTCAGCTTATGCTTCACAAATAAAATTGAAATTGCTTACAAATGCAGTCTTTAAGGGGAAAAGATGACCTTGCCTTTGGGGAAAAGGAAGGCTTGAGCTCTCTTCTAACCTGAGCAAATAATGCAAGTTCTCTTCTGCAACTTACTTCTGGTGAAGACAGTTGACTTAATTACTTACAGGTACGACTTCCCTGTGTAATGATTTTCTGTTTGTCTGCAAGGATAGATTCTGGCCTTGGTTATGCCAATCTGGAGTCACTCCTCTTATTCCAATGGGACTTCAGAGTAGTTCCTCCCAGATTTACATTGCTGTAGCAGAGATGAGAATCTGCTCTGGAATCTTTCTGCACTTCACTAGAAGTTAAATAAGAACTGTTGAGATTCAGGCCAGATTTTAAAAGGTATTTAAGCACCAGGTTATTAGGATCTTCAATGCCTTTAAAAACCTGCCCCTTAGAGCTTGATCCAAAGCCCACTGAAGTGCATAAAAACTGTCTTCAGTGGACTTCTGATCTGTGCTATGCACATTTTTCTTTGCTCTTCTTGCATCTTTGGCAATGGGAACTATAGCAATTCAATAGAGCCAATATTCCCGGCAGGCTGGCAGTGCTTTTGAGGAACCTATGTTCTATCTTGTTTCTCTGTCCTGAGGCTGCTACAACCCAAAGACAATTGAAAAGGGTTTACATAGAAAAAATGGTTTGTGACACAAAAATAGTTTAATTTGAGTTAATGAAATTATCTCTCTAACCTTGTTTTTATGTTTGTGTTGAGTTGATTGGATTTTTGTATTGGTTAACCCACTCCATAATAAGTTATTCCTGTTCCCTCATTTTCAGAGACTGGCGGTAATATAGTTTTAAGAAATAACTATTTTGTTATAGATCATAATATGCATAAAACTGTACAGAAATATTTTGTAAGCTATTGATTAAGGAATAAAAACATGTATATACAGTAAAGTTTTAAAAAATTGGGAATTCAAATGGCACACACTGAAAGATGTAGATATTTTGCTATTTATTTAAAGGAGTATTTTATGAGGTATTAAAATGTCTTAAATTGACTGGTAATCACAGTTCAAAAGTCAGAATGCTTTTCTTGTAGTAGAATGTGATTTTCAGCAATTATTGCACTACCCATTTTTGCACCCTTTTTGTCTTTCATTTAGCAGAAAAACAATGTGCCTTAGCTGTATTCCTTGTCTATGGGAGTTTGGGTTTTTGTCTGAAAAAGCAAATTTTTTTGCAGAACAAGAAATGGATGTATTGAATACTGTATTATACCAAAAACGCTGCGGTTGTATATACATGCTTTCTGTCCTACTGTGTTTTCAGATGCAGAATTTTAAAATTAAAAAAAAAGTCTGTCTTTAGTAATGGCTGTGTGACTGACTCTGACTTTTCATCTTAATCTAATTGACGACTTTTTCAAAAAGGAAGATATGAGCTGGTGGCATTTAGTAGGAAGCGGGGACCCCAAGTTCTAATCTTGCTGCTAAAGATAATTCTCTTGCTGGCAAATAACAGGTTACTCTGTGCTCAGTTTCCAAGCCTCACCAACTATGGATAATGCAGCTAAGTTCACAGGTGTGCTTTTGAGCTCATTTCATATTTATAAAGGACTGAAGATGTAAAAAGCTATGACCCATTTACTGGCATGTGGCCCTTACTCAAGTTATAGGGAGTAAGGATCACTCACAAAAGGATTTTCAAAATCCAGTTAAACATAACGTAGGATGTTAATTCCAACCCATCATGAAAATCCACCAGGCAACATCAGTGTTTAGAGAAAGGTGAAAAGGACTCTTCTGAATACAAAACATTATTTCTAGTTCTGTTTCTATGATTTCCACGAGATATGCATGATAGCTCCAGAGACCGAAGCTTCCCTGCTTTCACTTTCAGAGAACTCCCAGAACAAGATCTCTTGTGTAAGGCTATTTTTTCTCTCGATTATGCACAGATGTTTGAGGATGGGAGTGCAGGAACAAAGAATATTTAGACCCACTATGCAGGCCCTTTCCAAGGTGCACACTCAACTCCGGTGTCTTCCACTAAGTTGTCATCATAATGAGTGTTTTGCTTTGTTTCTTGATGCAGTCTCCTGCTACATAGTTACCTGTACAGGGTATCCCTGTAGGCCTTGCAGTCTTTTGGTGCCATCGGTAACCTGTGTGGCTTTCTCCTATACCAACAAGCAACATAGCAAGTTCTGTCAGCAGTCAGAAGTGACTTAGATCTTGTGATTATTTTCCACCTGCTCTGCAGGAATTCCACTTGTTGGCACTTGTGTGTGACAATGTCTGTTTTTAAAAATAGGAGGAAATACAGTCCTGGCACAGAAGACAGACTTGCTACAAAAAAAGATCATCCTTGCAGCTTTATTTAGACTCTCTCCAAACATATCATTGTCCTCCTCTTAGAACGAGGACCTTGATCAACCAGGTTCTTAAGTACTTTAATTGCACCCAATAGCAAGAGTGAATAACATTTGAGGAGGTGTACAAAGCCCGTTGTTATCGAATGATCCATCTGAGCTGTCTACAAAGCCATGCCAACAGAGAGCTATGTTTACAGCTATGCATATGCTGTACTTCTGGTAGAGATCTTATCATTAAAATTTGCATCTACCATGCCTAATCTGTCTTAATCCAAATACATATTTAAATAAAACAAAACCTGGCTAATTCTTACTAATGACTAGGGGACTCGTTGCAAATCATTAAATTCTGTCAAGCAGAGTTTACAAGAAGCAAACAACTGCAACAGAAAAAAGGGTGTTTTGTTCTTCTCTTTTGTCAATGGTAGCTTAATTTTAATGCTCTCTGTGTGACACTTCATCTATTAATAAAGTACCATAGCATATTTTCTAAAAAAAATGAATTGTGACTAATCTCAGGCCTCCATACCATGTGGTGTTCCTACTCTTTGGTGGGAAGACTTCATGTATGCAAATATATTAGATTTGTACGGCACTACTGTATTAAGAACACAATAGCAATTTTTCAGTCATTCTGCAGGAGACAGAATTCTGGGCTGCAGTACAGAATCGTAACCAGCTTTTCAAGGCCTTCTACTGCCTCTATGGGAGGCTTTTGGGAACAAGCCCAAACTGACTTCAGTGACCCTGACACATGGCTGTCAGAAGAGATGGAACTGAGATATAAAATCTGGACTCAATTGTCTCAAAGTTCAGGAGTGTTCGAATCTGGAGGTCAGGGTCAGCTTAGATAGATCATACTTCAAATACCAATCTGCATCTGCCATCAGTATCCAAACAGACGTACGCTATGTTCTGCCTAGTTAAAGTCAAACAGTGTGGTTCTACTTGTGGTCCCTAACTTGGTTCAGGACCAGGGTAGGAATTTCCTCAGCTGTGGAACTTGGATCCTAATTTTGTTTACAGACGGCATTAATATGACTCAGTAAGAGAGATCTTCCTTTTTCCCTCTTCTTGGCTTATCAATTAAAGCATGTCTGGTCTAAATGTAAATTTTAGTTGTGCCCCAATGACCATCTAATCTTGGGGAAGCATTTGGAGTCAGCACAGTTCATATGAAATTGGAAAGAGAAATACCTGCAAAGGCCTTCAGAATGATGTGACAGTGTGGTCTGTGTTGCACATTTATTCAGTTTGTCAGGATCAAATGTTAAGATATTTGAAATGCAGCAGGACACAGTTACAGGACTCAATTTCCTAAAAGTTTGTGCTCACCTGGTAAAAAAAATTATGGGTAACTTTGGTTCCCCTAGGATCTTAAGACTCTGAAGCAGGCATCTGGGCCTAATGTTTCAGCAGCCCCTGAGATTGTACTATTACCATATGCAACAAAGGAATATGTGGCCTATCTATGTAACTGTGGCCTTCTCAGCCTTGTGTTTTATAGTATGATATAAATAGGTAGGATTGAGTTAAAAGCATGGAGGATCAATATGGCAGTTACCATCAAGATGTTCAAGATGTAACAGGCCATTTGTTTGCTTCCACATGAGTACGGTGGTCTGGGCCCATTACAGAAACAGTTGCCAAAAGTTCAGTTATGTCGTTACGGAAGATGTCAGCCATAGGACTTTGGAAAGAACCATAGAACTCTTCTTGGGATCAGTAACGCTGGTTGCTTCAGTAAGAGTGTCATAGTATGACCAAAGCAGTAGAAGTGAGGATTGCTGATTCATCCATACAGTGGAGAACAGAGAGAAACAAGGACTCCATGCTGAAGCTTGGGAAACTGAGTCACAGCAAGGAAAAGTGATGTATTCAAGGTCATACACCAGTCAAGGGATAGAACATAAATCTATTGTTTCTACTGTAATACCTTAAACAGTGCCCATTCTGCCTCCCATGATTCAGGAAAGTAAGATTTGATTCCTGACCTTTGCTTCGACTGCCTGTTCCTCTTGCCCTGTAAGAATAAGAGCTTCTCCTCACATTTGTTTCAAGGTCAGGACCAATTTGGTCACTAAAACTGTTCATTTCCTCTGTCTTTAGATGCGTGTCTCACTACAACTGAAAGAGCCAGATGGAGGTTCTCATCTCCCAACTTTAATTTGTCTTTCCTTAGAAATAATACATGATGACAGCAGGGTGTTAGCACCTGAAATGGCTGACAACCAATGGCTGCCTGAAAGAAATCAAACTATCTAAATAATAGCAAAAAGTAAAAGCAAAACAGTTGGTACCATACACAGATTTCTATGACAAAGTTATGCAGTGATCTGTGATTTATCCTAGAGCAGGTAATATAATGCATGGGGGTGGAGTGTAGCAGACATCTCCCCCACAGACCTTTTGTGGAAGGAAGCTAGGGTTGTTATAAGACAAGAATACAGTCTCCCAGGTCACACATCATCTGAAAGGGGCCAGGGATAAGCCAATGCCATTATTTCCCTTGTCCCCTCCACACACCACACTTTACACTAATCAGAGAAGTTGGGAGGTACCATTCAAAGAGGCAGACCCCATTCCTACACTCTGAAGAGCTCTGTCAGGGATTGTTGCTATGAAAGCAATGTGTCATTTGCAGTTTTGCCCAGTCTTTGTAACAGGTAATTCTCATTATGGCCTCAACTTTCCTTGTGCAGTTTAATGTTCAGGGTTCTCAAAATTCAACTGCCACAGCTTAATGGGGGAGAAATTCTCATTGCAAGCAATAATCCTATTAGTTTGTATGCACTACTGAATAGCAGACCAATCCTGCAAACCTATATTCATGAGTAATCTTTATTCACCTGAACAGTTCCATTAAAGTCAACGGCATGATTTGAGAGAGTAAGAGTTACTTGCATAAGTAAAGTTTGCTGTGCCAGGACCTATGACTGTACAAATTTAATAATAAAAGCAGCAATCCCAACTATTTCAACGCACATGGGAACTGATTAATTAACAAGGAATAAAGTGACTCTTACAGCCCTGCACACAGCAACACAGGGCTATTCAATACCCTGCAAAATTGATTTCTCAGGCCTTGCCTGGCCTGACACAATATCCTTAAAGCAGTTTCAAAGCAAGTCACCAGGCTGAATAGTAATAGTTACCATAGTATAACTATACTTCCTGGGACTGGAGCGCATGGCAGTACTTAAGAAGATAGATTGGCTAGGACCACACAGACCCAGCCTATTAAAAGAGTTTTCCCAAAGCTGTAATTATATTCAACAATTCCAAGTCCACAAGCTTTGCAGAAAGATAATGCGTCCAAAAACTAGCTTTATCACTGCAAAGGAATTATGCCTCTCTTCATTTTTTCCCCTTAATTAAAGCCATTTTATTGACATACTGTATTTACAATGTCTGGTTCATATTTTTTGGCAAATACTGGGTTATAATACGCAAACCCATACTTTTGCAAAGAAAAATCACTTCCCTTTGTGATATGTTCAGTCTGTAGGTTGGGCTTTCATTTTGTTTTACTTTAAAGGAAGTCTGAATGAATGTACCTCCACTAGAATGCTTCTATAAGTGACTCCCCTCAATGATGCAATTAGATGTCCATCAGAAAAATGGAGCTTTCTGATTTTGCAAATGCCTGATTACATAAGTACTGCTTATTCAAATAATTCCACTGAAGTCAGTAGACATGGGCATCATATTGAGATTGCAACATGAAGTGTCATTAATTTTCACATACAAGGAAGAGCAGAAACAAGTCAGGAACTCTATATAATTATTAAGATTAAGGGCTGAAGAAGATCCCATTAAGAAATATGATTTTTTTTGTTTGTTTGCTAAGTTCCAACAGCAAATAAATATTATTTCATAAAATCCACCCCTAAGAGCAAGGCAACAAAAATCCTATACAAGATCTGGACCTGGGCTGAGATGTTAATCTCAAGCACACCAAGACCTAGCTGAGCTGGTGGACTGCTTCTAGACTGAC